ATCGACGAGTCTCAGTTGCGTTCCACTAATTTCAGCAGTGCAGCTTTCATCCCAGTATTCTCCAGCTGTGCATGTCAAAGACTCTTCGAATTGAAGTTTATCTCAAGTGATACCCATGTCCTGATAATCATCGTGACAAAATGTCAATTTTGTGGAGGACAGCCCATGTCAAGGCAGAGCATCAAAATGCAGGCGATAGTGCACGTGTTTTCTGAGCTGCTTCAAAAAAAAATTGAAAGAATTGCTTTTTTGTTCTCTTTTATTCACGCATCCTTTTTATATTGTGTGTGACATATTGAGCGTCAGCCTTTCCCTTTGCTCCCAAGTGTTGAAGCTATTGTATAGCAAATTTCCATTGGGCAATGTTGCATGGTGTGATGGAATGCTGTTTTGCTCCCTTGTAGTAGAGTAGCAGTCCATGTTGTCTCAAAAATCATGCTCAGAAACCTCAAAGTTGTCATTGTCCATAGTCCGCTTTGTTCAGCTTTTCTTGTGGGGGTTTCCAATGCTCCCTTGAACGAAAAAGCTTGAACTCACATTTAGATCCATCAAGCTAACATGAAGGTTGGGTGCGCCATCAAGCCGAAAACGCCTGTGGATAAGGTTTTGCCGTGAGTGTAAAAGCTTATGGTTTTGTTTTTGGCCATACAACGTGCATCCTTAACGCTGATAGCTCCAAAAGCGACATTGAATCTTGATGCTAGTGCAACAAAATTGCTATCTAATTGAATATTCAAACCAAATGATTGTTTGCTTAGATTCGCTGACAAAATCGATATGGCGCTGGTCATGACCGTTGAACCAGGATTCGGGGGACAGAAATTCATGGGTGATATGATGGACAAGGTGAGAACAATGATCTTCAGCCCTTGTTAATATGGGAAAATAGTAATAAGGTTATGGTGGCAGAGTACGGTTCAAAATTGAAGAAGTTCGTTCTTTTGAAAATCTTGATTTCAGGTTCGCACGCTTAGAAAAGCTTATCCATCTCTTAACATCCAAGTCGATGGTGGAATTTCTCCCAAGAATATAAAAGTGAGTGATTCGCATGGTTCACCTAGATCTACATAAATTTTCGATTTCAAAATATGTGATACTCTGTTGCACCATCTTCCTTTCCTCCTTTCTTCTTCACATCTATAATGAATTTGTCAGACTGCCATGAAGTTTTTTTTTTCTTTCAAGATCATAGAGGTCAATTTGGTATGACTTGAAGTCAGTGGGTTATTCTATTCGCAGACATTTTTCGGTGTTAAGTTGTTGCGCTGGAATTTCAAACGAGATGGAAATCATATTTGAATTAATTTTGCGTGGGTGTAATAGTACTAGCTGGCTTTTCACACAAGTCGTATTTCTGCTGCTTTTCGAATTAGCCATTTCTCATGTGTGTCTCTATCTTACAGTTTGAAAAGTTTTTGAAAAGAGCGTTAACACAAACCTGATCACAACTTTCTATGTTGAAACTAAATCTTGAGTAGTAACATTTTTAACACCACTTCCGTTGAATTAGCCCCTTTGTCTAGCATTGAATGTTTTGCCTTTTCGATGATGGGGCGTTTTTGCAGATCCCGGCAGAAGCTGGAGCGAATGTGATTGTATCTGGAACGGGTGTCGTAAAGGCGGAGTG